CCCCAAAACCCCCAAAACCCCAAAACCCCATGTATATAAATTTCTGTATCTTTAATGAAAAGTCAATATAAAACATTTAATTTTTGATATTCTTAGAGTTTATTTAATTTCTTTTTCACCAAGTTATAGAGCTATTAATGAGAAACAATTTTGATGCATAATTCATTCAAACTGTAAATCTTGACTCTTTTTCAAATGTAATGGATGAAAAATCATAAGATTAGGGTCACAAGTCCAGAGCTAGACCAAGATTACCAATTTTTGGTATCATAGAGGAAGTTCAATTGAACGAACCCCTAGTATTTATTAGGTCTTTGAGCTTCAAAAGGCAAACTCTTATTCTGAAAAAATTTAAGAATAGAAATCAGGAGTAGTCAATTGAATATTGGCTTAGAACATTACTCAATCAGTTTGGACTTTGGAAATGTCACTTTAAACAATTCCTGATTGAATTAAGAAATTTAATTTGGCTAAATTTTGAGTCAGACTCGAAGACTGGGTAATTAATAAATTTAATTAAATTTTAGAGATTAAAGTTTGAGATTAATTTTGAAAAGTAATTCTGCTTTTGATTAAGAAAATAATGAAAAAAGAGTTTTGATTTTGAATTGCGATACTTGTGATAAATCCTAAACTGTATCTGCATTTGTTACTCTTTTAAAATACTTGAGGCTCAAAATGATTATCCAGGTAATTGTTCATTTCTAATAAGTGGTATCGTATAGTAATCCATTGAAACAAATAAGATTCAACTAGTATACAAGACTGAATCATATCTTGCTATGATCATATTTGAGGTCATATTGTATTTCAAAAATTTTGGAATTCCTCATATCATTCTGGCTTAGAGTCCACATTCAGAGAAATAAGTGAGCTAGAATCTGGATGTTGGCAATAGTGATGAAAATAAGCAACTATAAGAAAACTAGCTTGATTTTCAAGATAAAAAGTCTTAGAAGAAGCAGTTTTTCATTGTCAAAAAAATTAAGCAAAAAGGAAATCATCACATATGGGAGAATCTTGTATACCGTCCTAAGAACTAAAGTTCTACTGAGAGTTCCTCAATAGATAACGAGGAGAGACATACCCCTGTTGAATCATATCTCTAAACAAAGGACTATGCCAAGTTATTTGAGGAATCTCAACTCTAGAAGGAAGTTTAAATGAAATAAGAAGAAAAAGCACCCAAAGTTTGCTATGCTGAAGGATACCATTAATCAAGTACAGCTCAATAGGATTCTAGTCTGATCCCTATTCCTAAGAATGCTAACCTTAAGGAAAACTATAAAGTTGTCATTCCAAGATCTTGCAAGGAGCTTGGTATCAAAGCCCGTAACTATTCAGACAATGAAATCCGCTAGTTCAATGTTGTAATGAGTAAAATCAACCAGGATGGAAGAACATCATTAATGATTAAGAATATTCCTAATAAGTATTCTGTCAAAATGCTCAAAGAAACCATTGAAATGACTCATAAAAGCAAATATGACTTCCTTTATCTGCCTATTGATTTTCAGAATAAGTGCAATGTTGGCTATGCCTTCATCAACATGAAGTCTATTGACTTTGTCAAGAGCTTTTATCTCAGATTCAATGGCAATAAGTGGGAGTACTTTAACTCAGAAAAGATTTGCGAGATTACTTATGCTAGACTTTAGGGCCTCCATTCACTCAAAAAACATTTTCAAACATCAAGTATAAGAATCTAAAGAGATTAGAAATTAAAGCCAGTTATTTTGAATTGAATTTAGCTACATCTTGCATGATCATATGATGAGTTCCTTTCCTCCCTAACCTAATTAATAATTGCTCTTTTTGATGAAATAATTTAATTGAATAGCCAAATTTGATATAAGTTTATTTGTCCTAAGACTTTATTTCTTAATATATAAACTTCAGGGGTTTTGGGGTTTTGGGG